TGGCATCGCTACTAGGAGCAAGAGGACGCTACTAGGGTCTCCTGGCATCGCTACTGGGAGCAAGGACGTTACTAGCTAGGGGCTCCTGGCATCGCTACTAGGATGCAAGGACGCTACTAGGAACAAGAAGATTGAGTGCACCCCAAGAATTGAACAACATTCATTTCAAGGAATTGATAAATGGATCTCGCAGTGACCTGGGTATACCTGGCTACTTGGGATTGCCGTTCTTTTTGATCCCCCAGTGAGCATACATGTCACATCTTGATAAGTGTGAATGTGCAAGTAGGGATTATGAAACAGAACTGTTGCCCAACTTTTCATGCAACTGCGTTGGACAGTTTGTGGTTCGTGCAGGTGGCTACAAACTAGCTATACCCCATCGGCAAATTCAAATGCCAGGACTCCAAAAACACACAATGCTGAACAGCTTCAAGAAACCACCACCTCCAATAGCGCATGAGCCGCTTCCCATTGTTCTTTTTCATGCATTAAAGAACCACCAATTCCGCTGGCGAGGCCAGGAATGGGCCACACATTTCGCCGGACCACGCTCGCTGCGCAGTGGGCGGGTAGGAGACCGCGCACGTGATTTTTGAGAGCAAGACTTACACCGTAGATAAAACCCAGCTCTGATGATCACCTGGTGGAGAAGATGTCTCAGTTGGTGGGGAAAATTGATGATCCCCCGAACAGTTTTCTATCAATTGTCATTGTGTATCGGGAAGAAACCCACTGGTCCATAGCACCTGAGGTTCTCTTCTCAACATCCTTGACTGGCAAAACCTCTTGATGTACTAGTCTACTAGAGTCTGCGATTGAGTCTCTCAAATCCAAAGCCCATCAATCTGCTGTTCAATCGTCTGAATCGGGCACAGCTTCCAAAAAGAACGATGTTGCCGAAGATCCCTCATATTTCCAGCACTTGGAACCGCGCTCGTCCAGTGCGTTTCACTTGAGAGGGTGCAAATCGGTACAAATGTCTGACGGTATTGTCATGGACCATCTGCATCAACAAGTGACGGGATTCTGCGCTCTAGTCTCACCATTCGGCGCCTGCAAACCAAGGCGCCTGCCTGCGCGGCGCATCTGCACTGCGGCACTTTGAGAGCGGCCTGAATTTCTGTCCCATCGCCCAACTGGTGCTATGTGGCACTGGTATCGCTAGTAGGTTGGAGGCCATTGTTATCGATCATTGTATGTTAGCTTCTTTTTTTTATATCTCTTTTAATTTGCTTTTTCTTTTCTCTTTCATTGGTGGAAGTGACTCATGCACGCGTCACGGGCAGTGAAGCGAGTGAAGCGTTGCTTTGAGTTCAGAGAGGAGGTGGTCTTGAAGGTGTGCCCCGGAGAAGACCGTTGAATGCGGACTTGGAAGAGGTTGTGAAGGCACCGGTAGGCCGTGGATCACATGCTGGCCAGGGGCAGTGGATCACCTCATACTATCTATCCAAAGCTGGCAGATATGTGACTATCAAGAAGTTGGATGACCTTCAGCAGGAGGCCAGATTGTTGACTGAGTCACTGAGGGCAATGACAATAAATAACAAGGAGCAATTTTGCAAAGATACTTGATGATGTCACACATCATAGGGATTGCATCGCTCGTCACTAGTAGGTTGGAGGCCATCGCTACTAGGTTGGAGCACCAAAATTCATAGCTCTGTCTTCTCTCCGCACGTAGCACCCCTCAGGGTCATGGAAGTGGGACTCCACCGGCTACTCCACGGCGCTCCGTAAACAAACGTCGCTCGGGAGTCCCGCTGCGGCGCCGCGGCCGGGTTTCTCAACTCCACGAATTAATCGACATCCTTCCCCGAGAAGAACTCGGATGGCAGCGGAATTGGTGCACGGCATTCTTCCGTCTGTGGAGTCTGCGGTTGGGAGTTTTTGTTTGGAACGAGGTGATAGGGATCATGTGGGAGTCTGCAACACTTAGATCTTGCATTATATTTGTTTTTGTGTTGTTGCCGTTTCATGCCCAGTCCCAAAGTTTGCTAACTTTGGTTCGGCAATCCACAAATTGATTACACACATGGGTTTGTATTTTTTTAAGGTTCCCGGGCCGGGATGTTTGACTATGGGGTATGCTTCGGAGGTATGCTTCGGGGGTATGCTTCGGGGTATGCTTCGCGCAGTGTGAAGACTAAAGTAGTAGCATTTCCAGAGGGTATGCTTCAGGGTATGCTTCGGGGGTATGCTTCGCCTAAGTCGAACATCCCAGTCATAAACTGGACACCTTAAAAAAAAGACAAGCCCACATGATCATACGTTTAATAGCGACTCTATGAAGTAGGCCACATGACATTACATGATGGACTGCATTGAACATGGAAGACTGGGGTCAAAGAAACAGAATGGATTTTATCGCAAAACTTCTGATTGGCTCCTGGCCTTACTACTAGGAGCGATCGGACGCTACTAGGGGCTCCTGGCATCGCTACTAGGAGCATTCTTTCTAATTCTAATTTAACTATAGTTTATTTTAATTCTAATAGCTTCTTGTTACTACTAGTAAGGCACTTGTTACTAGTAGCATTCTTTCTACTAGGATCCGTTTGGTCTAACGTACCATTCACGTGCCATTCGAGTCCGGTGAACGGGGAGGTAGACTGCAATCAAGACCATGGCCACAGCGACAGCATCGACGGTAGTAGGCCAGGCTAAGTAGGACCCTAGAAGCCGTCGATTCTGAAGGAACAGCAACGAATGGTATCTATGGAACATGGCCTTTTAATAGGTTGGAGGCCATCGCTAGTAGCTTGGGAAAAGGAAAAATCCAGAAGCTTGCATTCTAATTCGCTGCACATCTTCGGACGAGCAGGCGAAAAGAACAACACAATCTTCAGAAATTCCCGAAGCTCCGTGTTCCTAGTAGAAAGAATGCTCCTAGTAACAAGTGCCTTACTAGTAGTAACAAGAAGCTATTAGAATTAAACAAATTATTGTTAAATTATGTTAAATTAATAGAATTAGCAAGAATGCTCCTAGTAGCGATGCCAGGAGCCCCTAGTAGCGTCCGATCGCTCCTAGTAGTAAGGCCAGGAGCCCCTAGTAGCGTCCGATCGCTCCTAGTAGTTCCTTTATGACTCGAGACTTCAAGTTGATGTTTCTTCCATTTCTTTCTGGAAACTTTGCACAGCGACTGTCACCTAATGCAAAACCCTCCTTCAAGGTCACTCTTGGCTCTTTGGGTGATTCTTACCCAGTGGAACTCACTTGCAACAATAGAGTCTACGATGGGAATTTCAAGAATAGAAATCATGATGTTGAAAAGGCAGATCGTGCTAGTTGGCAAAACATGGCAAAACATTAACTGAATTCAAGGTTTGGTGTTGAATCGAACAATGAAACATGACATCACAACATCACCAGTATCTCAGTATCTCCATCAACGCTCTTTGCTTTCAGGGGCCATGGCCTTTGCTTTAAGACATCGGCGGTGAAAACGTAGAAATACCATGATACAGAGTCTGCCACCCCAGCTGTTAGTCAAATCAAAAAGCGGCTAAGGGAGCATTCCAGGCAGTAAAAATGTCTACACCACATGGATGCCAAAAGGACAACATTGTCTTGATATGTGAATGGAGTTGGCAAAAAGAGTTTAGCAAACTTTTTGCTCTTCAAAGAAATGGCTCAAACCACTTGAAGTTGTGCAATGAAGAGATTCCAACGTTGTCCTGCCGATTTGTGGATTGTCCAGAGTCGTCCTATGTCATGTTTCACCTGTGCCTGGTTGTGAAGCGTCACTGTGGGTGGGTGGGTTCGCTAGTAGGTTGGAGGCCGCTAGCCAATTGGAGGCCGCTAGTAGGTTGGAGTAGGTTGGAGGCCCTCTCAGGTTGGAAGAACCTGTCCTAACGGTCCTAACGGTCCTAGTCGTCCATGAGTTGCGCTCGGTGATCGCACCGAGCGTGCAGCTTGCAGACCTGCTCTCCCTGAAGGTGCCAAGCCTGGAGTGGCTGGTGGCAAGGTCGGGTTTTAGGGTCCCCAGGGTCCCCAATGGTCACCATGTCTTCTTCAAGGTCCGGTATGTGACAGGAACACTTATTGTTTCTACTAGCGTCCTTGTTACTGGTAAGGCACTTGTTACTAGAAGCGATGCACTTGTTCCTAGTAGCGAACATTGTTCCGCCCAAATCCCAAATACGGTAATAAGTGTATGTTTTAGGTGACACTGCTGTGCATCAACAGTGCTATTGGAACCCGTCCATCGAAGAGGACGTCGTGTTGGTGTCTTGTTCCATACCCCTGTCACATCACCTTTTCCATAGCTATCAAAGCAATGAACAAAAACCGGGAACTGACCAGGTTCCTGTGGAAAAGATATGAATGTATATATGACCTGCTTCGTGTTTCGTCCGACCGCAGGTCTATGACGAGTCATAGTGATGACCGGTGTGAGTCATCGCAGCTCTTTCGACCCAAAGAGACAATTCTTTGTCGCGTTCGTCGTAGCGACACGGCAGACTCGCAAGATGACTCTTCACAAGGCTTGTGATAAGGAATCGAGATCTCCGAATATGAGGTCTTCACTGAGGTCCTCTGATTGTCTTCTCCCAAACCTGTCACCCTCTGAAGGGACCAGAATATCGTAACCATCATTTAGACCAAATATTCGAACCGGCAACATGGCCAAACGCGCCCTTCAGCATCAATAAGTGAGGTGCGGTGTTCATTCTCAAGTCCTCTAAGGCAACAGGACGCTTCTGTTCTGTCCTCCTTGAACCGAATGTGCACATAAGCCAACCACAGAATCTTATAAACGATGGACTCATGTAACAAATGAATCAACATGCCGTTGGCAAATAACACACATCAGCCAACACCCTTTTGTGGATCCTTCCGTAAAACGGATCACTTCTCCACCGACGTTGTCGAACGTGCCGGAACGTGGGAGCGAGAAATGCGCCTCGTCTCACTCGCCAACCTGAAGCTGTCAACGGCGAGATGTGAGATGGGTGAGATAGACTTTTCAACACTACAAGGGTGGAGGCCATCGCTAGTAGGTTGGAGGCCATTACTAGCAACAAGAAGCTACTAGGGGCTCCTGGCATCGCTACTAGGAGCAAGGACGCTACTAGGCTCCTGGCATCGCTACTAGTAACAATGAATGGTGACCACTCAGAAGCAAACTCCACTGGAAGTCGGATGATCTATGACCCGATACCCGTCGAGGAAATCCTACACCAGCTGGACCAATGGAAGTTGTGGGCTAGTCCAAGCATCACGATCACAGCGAATAGTCCGGGACAGTCAGTGGCCGTCAACTTGTGAAGGGGCAACATAGTGGGAATTCTGTGCAACAAAGTGCAGTCATGGATCACTGGATGAGCAGTTCGTCGGTGGGTCCCGAAGTGCGCCAGTGGCCTCAGGTGTCCCTGACCTCCTCCACCAAGCAGAAGCTGCTTCGACCAAGCCCGGAATCCTCCCAAGGCAGAAACCCACTTCGGCCAGCCTTGGGCACGAACTCTGAGGCGTCGGCGCGCATGGACCTCAGACGGCGGCCCGACCTCGCGACCTTTCGATTCCACGGAGAGCTGCAGAAAAAAAAGACACCGGTGTCGTGTACTAGGACCATATTTTGGGAGAGCTGGATTGTTTCATTGGCACTCGAAAACACCCCACAGGTAAATGTGATACCCTCAAAGGATCCCATCTTCCGGAGTCTTTCTCTGGAGCAAAGTGTTCCCTTGACGAAGATGATGACGCTGCTCCCAAGTTGCATGGCTGCCCGGTTTAGTCTCCTCAACACGCACTCACCTGTTGCAAGGAGTCCGAACTAAGGTTGCTGTCAAACAGAAATGAGAGATGACGGGAGAAGATCTACGAACCTTCGAGCCGTCATGAAACCCGTGTCTTTCAACAAGGCTGAACAAAAGAATACTGCAAGACAAATGAGTTTCCTAGGAGCCAGTAGCCACTAGGGGCTCCTAGCATCGCTACTAGGAGCATTCTTACTACTAGGAAAAAGGACGCTACTAGGGGCTCCTGGCCGGTCCTGGCCTTACTAGGAGCAAGAAGCCACTAGGAGAACTTGGCATCGCTACTAGGACGAGTTTCCTGCGTTTTCACCACGGACCCAACACACCGCCGGCCCCCGTTCTGGGCATCCCAAGCAGCGAGGCATGCTGGCGAATGGGCGTCGTCAGGGTCAGTTTGAAAGAGGGTGGTGAGAAACACCGCCAAACACTGCCATATCCTTTCACAATGAACACCTGAAACATCTAGTAACAAGAAGCTACTAGGAACAAAGGGCATCCCTACTAGGAGCAAAGACGCTACTAGGGGCTCTTGGCTATACTACTGTACTAAGAACAAGAACGCTACGAACGGAGCAAAGGGCATCGCTACGAACGATCGGACGCTACGAACGGGGCGCTCTTGGCATTACTACTAGTAGCTCTTTTCACCTGATCAAGAAAAGAACATCAAAGGTACCACCCGTTGGTCGCTATCCAACTTCGTTGGTCGCTTCACCGGCGGATCCTTTAGGCCCACTGCTGCGATCTCTGAAACAAACCACTGCCTGATCACTGCATCGAACGCATCGAAGGAAATCACGGAGAACACAAACTCAAAAGACTTCGAAACCAAACAAATTGCTACTAGTAACAAGTGCATCGCTTCTAGTAACAAGTGCCTTACTACTAGAAACAAGAAGCTAGTAGAAACAAATTAACCACACAAACCACATCGTCCTGACCCTCCCGCCTCGGAGATTTCCCCTCTCACAAGTGTGAGCTTCAACAGCTGCCTCAAGCTTCGACAACCGGAGGGGGATGCTTCAGCGATGAAAAGCACTTTTTCAAGGTACTAGTAGCTTCTTGTTACTACTAGTAAGGCACCTGTTACTACTAGCGTGGCACTTGTTACTAGTAGCTTCTTGTTACTACTCAAAGGTCTTTTACCACAAAAAAGACACGAAAGCACAAGGCTTGAGCACCTGGAAGCACACTGCCGTGAACGAAAAGGACTGATTTAGTCGGTGACCAAATCACGGGGCCAGAGAGACCATCCAGGCCCCAGAGGAAAAAAACCTTCTCTTCGTTCTTTTTATTTCTTTTGCCTTTGGGCCTTTGGGCCTTTGTTTTCTTCTAGACCTTTGCTACAAACGACGCACCACGGGTCGACTGGGTCCGGTGCTTCATCACAGTCCCAACATGACACATGTACGAACAGGCAGCCACGTGGTGAAGTGGGGGCCCAGGGTGCTGCAATACAATTCAATATATATAACTATTCTTTTTTTGGTTGCCATATATTGCCGCCACGAGTCTCTTTTGCGAAGCAGTTGTTATAATTCTACGTATACCTGAAAAAGGACTTGGGAAACAATCAAAGTCCTGTGAGTCATGTTCCACTCTAAGGGAGGCTACCTGAGCCGCTGTCTGACGCGTGTTTTGCCATAGGTCGAAAGAATCATCAACTGATAGGCATTGGGTGGAAAACCCTGACAGAATGAACCAACCCTGGCCAGGAGAAGCAGTAGTTGCAATATGCTTACTTTGCTAGCCGTAGTTCGCAGCCCAGCCCGGCCAAGCCACTTGTCGCGACATTCTTCCAACATCTTGTCGGGCTCGTAGGACACACTGTTGACACCTTAAAAGAGATGATGGGTTGGAGGTTGTGGAGACAAACCATATTTTGCTGTTGGAGTTTAAGACACCCTTCCAACAAGGCTTAGTCATCTCTCAAAGAGTAGCTGCTTCATAGTCCGGTGATTCAAAGAGAAAGCACAAATCGCCAACGCAGTCGGGGGAAGATCTTGTTCCCGTCCAGGTCGAACACCGCTTCATATGCCAGGTCACAGTGGCAAAGCGATGCTCCAATCGACAGTTTCAATCACATCCCACATCTGTTAGCATGGCATAACGTGGATGCAACAGCATGGAGAATCCAATCCCAACTGTGAGTAGGGCACAAACAAATGTGCTTTGGCATTTCCGAGACACGTTCGACATTGAGTCCGTGGAACCTGGGAGATGAACAAAGGAAGGGAGCGGAACCAAACCTTCTCCTCTGCGCGCGTCTTGCCGAGATACACCGGGCCATACCACTGACCCCATCTAGGGCACCCCAACTAACGATCTGATCCCCCGCGATGATGGCGCGCTCCGGGTTGGTACCCACCTCAAGTGCTCACGGCAAAAACGAGCAGTTCTTCATTACAGCGCACCCAGATCACCAAGCAAAATGGGATCCCAAACATGTGACGAATTCTCTTTGCAACAGCATTCCGGTGAGCTCTTCCATCCTGTGCTGTGATGGACGCAGCAAATGAGACGGACGGACGTTCTGAAGCACCAGGACAAACACGTTCATCGAATTCAGCATATGCTGAACAGAACTCTGTCTCCAAGTTGGCAGTTTTTGAAGCACGTGGTGCAAGCTAAAGGAGCCCTAAGACTATTAACAAGTGCATCGCTACTAGTAACAAGAAGTTACTAGTAGCCTGAGTGTCTGCGAAGGGAGCTCCGGGCTTAAAGCTTGATGTGTATGTCATTATCCGATGGTGTGTGCTGAGCCGAAGAGCTTCCGATGTTTCTTTAGCGCTGGACCAAGAGCTTCCTTCATAACTCCCTTCGATGACTCTCAAACCAATGATTTCTGATCCCCGTGATTTTTCACAAGCTTTTGATGACATGTGTCTCAAGGATATCGTAGGTAAATGGCACCTGATCTGTTCATTGTGACTTCAAATCTAGGCACCCCTGGGACTGCGGCACTCCTACGCCACCTAATGCCGTACGGTCTGAGCATTAAGAAACACATTGGCTGCCACTCACATTGTTCAAACCAATCCTGACAAATCCCTGAGGGCTTGCGAGGTCAAAACACAGTTCTCTCAAAAGAAAACATCCTTGTGTGATGTGTGACGATGGTAATCCCAGTCTTGGAGCCCGCGCGCACTGCCTGTGCCGAAGCAGAGTGGGTTTTTGTTTTTTTACCATTTTTGCTTTATGATTGGTGTGAGCAGGCATCCGGATGACTTACTTAGATCCAAATGTGGTGATGAGATCGGCAGGGCGCTCTCCGTGACGCACAAGCTCCCTAGAGCTCCCAAGGATCCGCACACAGCTCGAAGAATAGGCCATCCCACGACCAACCAACACATGCCGCCAAAAAAGAACCATCTTCCCATTTGCGGAAGGCCATTGAACCCATTTGAAGACGAACGACGCCTCGGATCATGGCGAACAAACTGATCGCAGCGCCCGCTGTTCCACGCTGTTCCACGTCCACGGGTCACTCCAACCTGTTCCACGCTTCGACGGCACCATCCGGGCGGATCCCTTCCACCAGCAAGACCTCTCGGTGCCGCGAGTGCTCAACAAGGACGCTACGAACGGGGCTCCTGGCCTTACTACTAGTAGCAAGAAGCTACTAGTAACAAAGGGCATCGCTACTAGGAGCAAGGACGCTACTAGAACCCTCCTGGCCTTACTACTAGGAACAAGGCCGCTACTAGGGGCTCGTGGGAGATGTGTGGGGCTTGGGAGATATATGGAGATATATTTGGAGTCTCCGTGAGGATCACTGATCCATCCATCCATCCATCCATCCATCCATCCATCCATTGTTCTGAAGAAAAATACATAAACAATTCGAGACCAGGATGTTTCTTGCAAGAACTTAGGTCCTGGATGGTCCTGGTAATCATATGTTTGAGGACACATCCTGGAATATTTGTATGTTTTATGCTGTAGAGACCAGCTGTCGTTTTTTGGGGTACCACACATCCTCTTGTAATTGCATTCTGAACCACTGTGTACCTCAGCTGTCCAACCGAACAACATGACCCTCACCCTCCTGGCATCCAGGAGATATGTGGACCTTTCCAGTGTCCAGCCTAAGAAAACACATGACAAAAAACACATTTGATTAACTCATCAACATTTGAAAACACAGAATGTCACTACCATAGCTTTTTGCTTTGCAAGAATGATATATACATATACCAACTTGTCAGGAATCTAATTGTCCAAGGCCCACATGCAACTCATTCTCGAACGTTCCTTGCTTTATTGCATACGCACCGCCCCAGGCATGCAGAATTCTGATCTTTGTGAATCAGGCATTGAAAGGCATTGCAAAAGGACCTCCAACACAGCCATTGAACTTGAGGAGGTTTAGGTGATATTACTCCCAGCCCAAGGATCGGTGCTTTGAAGCGGAATATTCCTCTTGTTCAAACGACTGTTGATCCTCACCCACTGACGAACCCGCAATGTGTTCGAAAACCCAGAGTCAACGATTCGAAACACCCTTGGCATTACTACTAGCTAGAAGCTACTAGGTTGGAGGCCATCGCTGGTAGGTTGGAGGCCATTACTAGTAACAAGAAGCTACTAGTAACAAAGGGCATCGCTACTAGGAGCAAGAACGCTACTCGTAGCAAGAAGCCATTTAATAACAACGACCCTCGCCCCCCTGGCCCCACGGCCGCCCCACGCGCTTCGGTCCTTGGGCCCGTCCAGTGGCTTCACGTCGAGGCCCAGCTGGGCGCCGTCCGCCTTACGCAGCGTCATGCTGAAGACCTGCGGAACGACCGGCGACGCCGCTGCGACGTGGCCGGTTTTTGATGTTGCGTCCTTAACGGCCCTATCGCGTACGTTGAAATCTAAAAATGTAGAAAGGAAACTAAGGATGTAGCATACGTAACAAGGGATGATGCATATGTAAGCGTTTAGCAATGTAAAAATGTAACTTGTCTTAACATGTAGCTAGGCTAGCGGCTAGGTGTGACGAAAGACAAGGGTATCACAGAGTATCAAGAAGCCACATGATATCACATGATCCTGCCAGCCGAGTGCGAACCCGTACAGGAAAAGGAGAAGTCACTTCAACATCAAATCAACAATGTCCACAAACATGGATTGCTTAACTGTCACAGTGAAAACATCCATCCCGAGCACACAAACATGTCTCTCAAGTCATTTAAGGTCAAACAATCCTTTAAGATCCTTCAAGTATAGTTTGCTACTAAGTTGGAGGCCATCGCTAGTAGGATGGAGGCCATCGCTATTAGGTCAGACAATCCTTTAAGGGCTCGTCGTCTCACCTTCACACTTTTCTCGCCGTCTCACCCTCTTCACAGCGTCGAAAAGAACCGGAAGTCCTGCCTGTGGTGGCCAACTTTGAGCCAGCTGCGCCTGCAGGCTGGGAGGCCCAGCGAAGTGGGTGGCATTCATATGAATGCTACTAGGGGCTCCTGGCCTTACTACTAGGAGCAAGGACGCTGCTGGTGAATGCCAGACAGAAAAAAACCAAGGACATCCTCGAATTTGGCTGTCCCCTTATGGTCACGCCCCTAGAGAGAGTCAGGTTCAGCTTTCGTGCAAATCCTGCTTGCTCATGTGGGCAACCCAAAGCCAGCCAGCTCAGGCGAACACATTTACTTTGACCGTTCTCAAGCATTCTGTGCTCATGTCCATCCCTTGGAATGCCTCGTTGTCTCTTAGATGTTTTCAACAACTTCGGCGACGCGGAAAAACAAAACACAAAACATCTCCCTCAGTGGGACACCTCTGCCGCAAGGGTCGACGCCAGTGACAGGGGCGTCAACGCAGTATTTCTGGGTGCGGACCTCACTGCGTGGGCGAAAGGAACTGTGGAGGGAGCGGTCTTGACAAATCGCTGCTAGGGTGGAGGCCAAGGCAACCAAGGGCCAGGAGCTCGATTTGTATTTTCCAAGTTTGGCAACCCGAAAGTAATTGTCTTGTGGAAAGTCACCAATTGCAACACGCCTCACTTAAGCATTACATTGTTGCCCAGTTTACCCACTGTTACTAAACTGCACACGGCTTTGCTTTGGCTCGAATTCAAACCCCAAACATCCGCACAAGGAGAATAAACATTTTGCATGTTGATACGACACCTCATGTGGAGACGTCCTCATGCCTCCCACTTGATGCGCCAAGTTGATTCTCGGTGGATGTGTCTTGTGGATGTTTGTCGGCTTCGTGTCCGAACTTCAAACCTCCGTGATCCAAGGTCGCCACGAGCTCAAAGCCTTCGACAAAGGGCGAAGCGGCCCGTTGGCGGCCCGTGGTTTGCAAAGGTGGAAGGTTTTTGAGAAGTGGTGCTCCCAGCAGAAGTGTTGGAGGCCATTGCTCTTAGGGTGGAGGCCTACTAGGAACACAGTGCTCTGCAAACCCAATCTTTTGTGACGCCGTTCATCCTACCTTGTTTGAACACGCGTTGTCAGTATCCAAGGATGTTGTCACCCAAATCCGTATGGTCTAACAATTGTTAACATCCAACACATGGGCATGCTCCCTGCTACTAGGAACAAAGGGCATTGCTACTAGGAGCAAGGAGGCTACTAGGGGCGCTCCTGACCTTACTACTAGTAGCAAGGACGCTACTAGGTTGGAGGCATGTCTGTTCAGGTCCAATTCCCTTGTTGGCCCATAGGTGGAAGCGCTTCGTCACCGGCCTCCGCCAATGACAAGGGCGCTGGGGGCCTGGAACTCGATGGGCCGCACGGCGGCACGGCCACCAAATCTCACATCCGTGCCACCAAATGAATTTGATTATATTTAGAATTCCAAATTAAACTTAATTACTAATTCTTGTCACTACTAGTAAGGCACTTGTTACTAGTAGCGATGCACTTGTTCCTAGTAGCGTCCTTGCTCCTAGTAGTATGTCACAGAAGATATCACATCACATCGATCTATTTTGTGCCCGATACTTTTTAATATACAGAATAATAGTAATATAACAATAAAATACAATTAATATATTCTAGTGCAAACTGATAAAGGTTCTCTGTCAGAACCATGTTTCTGTCGATGCTATGCGAAGCTGATCTTGCAAATCCCGCCATGAAGAAAGATGAACAAAGTGGAAGTTGACTTTTAAGGGGCGGTAGCCTCCTGCAGATAAACGTGGACTCTCAAAACCACCGGGTTGTAAAAGCAAAGTTGCGTTCCACAGGGTACTTTTCAGGGTCCATGTTGGTCTGTACGGGGGCAATTGCTTCGCTGGGCGACTGGTCTCGATCTGCTGCACTTGGCTGTGATTCCACTTCGCAGTGGTCCACGCACCAAAAGTTGACTCAAGATGATCCACGTCCATGGTGCAAACACTCCATGCCGTCGATAGGCTCTGCAAGGTTGAAGCAAGAAACGCAGCCCCATTTGAAGGTCTGGCAAAGCTGTGAGGTTTCCGTTTCTCAACGTGACCACTCAACCACCAGCTACGCTTCTCTTCTTTCCGCCAAGGTGCTGAGCAAAGTGGAAAGGAGGCACCTGATCCACAGCTGGAACATTTTGGAAGATCGACCATTCGAGCGACTGGCATCGCTGGTCAATTGCAAATTGGACTACACATACGTGGGCCTGGGGATAGGGTTGGCTCGTCACACTCGCATCACCAGGCTTTAAACCTTGCAAGCCGAACCCCATGAGACATCCAATGATTTGGGCTTTCAACGGATCATGATGGAGGCCATCGCTAGTAGTAACAAGTGCATCGCTACTAGTAACAGGTGCCTTACTAGTAGTAACAAAAAGTTAGTAGTAACAAGGGCCTCGGACTATTTGGGATTTGTTCCATCAGAGCTGGTAGAACCCAGCTCTGGGGAAGCTGAGGTCGCCCAAGGATCGCCAGAACATATGTCGAGTGATTCTCAACCACCCAATGGAACATGTGAAAACCATGTCCTTCAAAAGGTTCCAATACCATATGATGACCCAGGTCTTTCACTTGGTTTGAATAGAGAAAGGGATACAAATACATTTTTTGAACGATGTCCATTTTGGAACATGATTTCACAACTAATGATGTCTGTCGACTGGGGAAAAGCAAACAACAATGCACAGGTGCTCGTTCGCCCACAGCACTCTTGCACTAGCAACACCAACAGCACAAGTTCGCAAGGCTGAACCGCCTCTGGAGGTGTTGATGCCGACACCTGCCACCAGCACATGTATGGTATTGCGGGCAACATCAATATGCAGACCACAAGATACTCAAGGTCAATATTTCAATGAAGGAGGTCATAGCACAAACCTTGTCTGAAGCTCCTGCGACATTCTTCAAACCAGGATGGCCGCAACACCTTTCACTGATGTTGAGTTTTGATGATCTCTACACTGGCCATTTCCTGGTTCATGATATCCCCCTTGTAGGATCTTGCATGCCAACCACCTCGAGTCTCTGCAAGAATACTCAAGGCCGGACCTGTTCAGCAGGAGTGAACGTAAACTAAGAGCTTCAAACCTAATAGCAATGGCCTCAAGCCTAAGAGCGATGGCCTCCAACCTAATTGCAGGATCACTTCTGAAAGGCCGACGTAGTTACTGGGAATCGCGCCCGCTATCTAAGTAGACTGGACATCGTTCGCCCAAAACAACCTCCGAAGAACCTGAAAACCTGACATCTATCGAACCATTGAACTATACCAGCCTCCGACTATACGGTAACAGTTCTTTTTTTTCCATGTGGCGCAAAACCGCTAACCTGCAGCCTGCAGCCAAACGTTTATCTGCTCACCTGCAGCGCATCGTTCGTCGCCTCGACGTCGGGCTGTGGGGTATGGCCATCCGACCTCATCCGTCGTAGGCGACGCGCGTTAAAGCGGCTGGGGTAGTGCCAGGAGCGCCTCTAGTAGCATCCGATCGCTCCTAGTAGCGATACCCTTGTTACTAGTAGCTTATTGTTTCTAATAGCTTCTTGTTACTACTAGTAAGGCACTTGTTTTTCTAGTAGCGATGCACGTTGTTACTAGTAGCTTCTTGTTCCTAGTAGTAAGGCCAGGAGCCCCTAGTAGCGTCCGATGCTCGCTGATGCGAAATTTCAGAAGGGTTCCCAACTCGACCTCCCTTGGTGCAATTTTTTGGAGCACCCCATCAAGTTCAAGGCCTGTCTAGAAGTGAATGTGGGTCAAAACAATATATTTAGAATAGTAGGCTAAACATGGTTAAAATATGTGCCCCACCTAGATCATCCTAGATCAATCCAATTTCTTCAGATGTTAAAAGGTCTAATTGTTCTCAACCCGATGAATCGAAAGAATGGTTCACACAGGCCAATGCTCTCAGCCAATTGCGGGATGCATAATGGGCTCTAGCATCATGTTTGTTCTCTGGCGTCTCCCCTGTTCTCTCCAACAGGATCAGCGTAGTTAGCTAGGACAAACAAAGGCCAATGGCTTCTCAACATTGACCTCCTTGGGAATGGCTTCCTGTTGCGCAGAAGACAGCTTGAAAAAAGCCAGTTATTCTCCTTAATTTGGAACTCGTTTCCGTCCTGACAGAAAAAGGCCATTTAAAGAAGCCAACGCAGGTGCTAAGTGAGGCCAGGCCTCTACTGAGACTCTTCCCGCACCTGTTCTCCAAGAAACGTCTGAGTCCTCTGTGGTGTCGTTGTGAGGCTGGTGGCCATGGTCGTGGGCGGCGACACATAGCCTGCAGGAAACGGTTGTGAAGGTGCCGGGTGGTGAAACACAGTCAGGTTCGTCACATATGACTACTAGGAGCAATGTTCGCTACTAGGAGCAAAATGCATGGCCACTAGGAGCATGGACGCTACTAGGGGCTCCTGGCCTTACTGCTAGGAACAAGAAGCTACTAGTAGCAAGGGCATCGCTAGAATGAAGAATCAGGATCGAACATTGAGGGAAAGGTCTTGCGTCACGTGGGTTGGGGCGGATGGGGAACACCATGGTATTTGCAGTGAATTGGTTCCAGGTTAGTACTACTATTTCCTCAAACCATTTTCTTTTGTAAATCCTTCGGGCTGAGTCGCTAGTAGAAAACTGGTTAGAAGTCGTAGGTGTGCGGTGCAGGTTCTAAAGATCGGCCAAATGATTCCGGAGAAGCGAGGCAACAAGAGCTTGCTACCGCATGCACCCGCCACAAGGAAGCGATGGCCTCCGACCTACTAGCGATGGCCTCCAAGGCACCTTTCAAGTGGGATGAAGCTTTTGGACGTCTCTGGACCATCTTCAATCTTCCGACCTAAACTCATTCCGACCCAAACACATCCCCTCGGGAAAGACCTGCCGAAAATGCCTCATCCCTTTCAGGAAGAAAGCAACGAACCGACCACGGCCCTCCCTCGGCCCTTCGGCCCTTCCTCCAGCGGGCTTTTCGAGCCCCAACTGGGACAAATGGGAGGCCATCTTGGTGAGCACCTGGAGTGCAGTTCGATGGACATGGAGCAGTCTGGGGCATCACTGTGGGAGGCGGGGGCGCAAGCAAGGTAGGTATTGAAGGTATTGGGTAATTACCCTCCCTGCAACCAACATGAACGTGGAAAAACCACCTGTTTGTGGAGGATTATATAGTCTTTCATTATTGTTGGAGGGAGGGAATATATGGCGTTACGGTGGATGATGATTGCTAGTGAAGATCCTTCTGCCAACAAAGTGTTCATCTTGTACCGACTGTCACTGGTTATGTACATACTTGGGAGTTCCATTTTGGTGTCCACACTCTTGGTGAATGCGGCGGAAAAAATGAATTTGATGTATTTTGTCGGCATCTCAAAGACCGCTGCAATCACAAGAGCCACCCAACCCCACAATTTGAGAATAGCCCAAAAAAGGGTGCGAGTCTGTTCTTCAGCACGACATTGGGCATTTTACTGAACCATAGGGACTGCATTGCTGTACAAACCACAAAAACAAGTATATAAGCTATGTTGTTTCTGCCTCAAGGATACACGCATGCAAATGTCAAGGAGACTCAAGTCAATCCACAGTCCGTCAGAGTAAGTCATATCCACAATGAAAATGCGCCAAACCTTTCAAGTCACAGAGGCGCCTGGATCCAGCCTTCCTGTGGAAAACATCCTTGAGACACATCCAGGTCCAGGTCCACAAATCCAAATCGCGTCCATCTCCCTGCTGTGTCACGCTCGACGCTTGGCCACGCTCCGCCTGCTTCAAAGCTTGATTCTCACGTTCCAAGGCGTCTTGCTGCTCTTTACACCTACAGTGACCAGCAGAGTGACCAGTTCCACGGCTCCGGAGTCGTTTGAAACTGGATCAATCAATCGCCTCGAAGAGCATGGATCGTTCACACAGGTCCAATCGGTCCAAGGTCCATCGTTGGACTTTTAAGGTTTCGGATTAGGTGTCCCGACTGGATGCACTATTGACCTGATCCGCTACCAAGTCATCAGCCATGTGGCGCATGTGGGATCTTATCTAGTCTACCTTTAGAAGTATCGGACAACATGCTTTAGTCCCCTTAAGCATGGACTACTTCTAGCATGGTTGACAATCGGCACCCTTGACCCGCATCAACCCCATGTCCCAGCGGCTGTTGAATCTGTGCCATAAGCTTTTCCGTCCTTTCCTGCTGTTTCTGATGAACCTGCGCCGTGTGGGCTTGGCATGGCTTGGACATCATGGCTGATTCAATTGGAAAGACGCAGCACACAGGAGGTCCTTTCTCCAGGGTCCTGGAATTTTGATATGCTTGGGCTTTCCAAAGGTTCGGAACTTCCTTCCTTTGAAGTCATGGGAGAACGAGTCCTTCTGTGTAGTCAACACCGTTCCTATCCCAAATTTGAACGTGTGGCACTCAAGATTGGGATTTGAGCCGTCACACACTGTGGAGAACTGGCAGTCTCTGCAACAGGAACATCCAGTTTAATTACGCCTGGCAGTCCGAAAGAGGATGGGACGGGAGGTTTGGTTGGTCGACTTCACAATCTGAAAGCTGCCACAGATTGGTTCAGCTCTGCCACATGCTCGTCCAACACCATGTTCAAAGCACCCGAAGATGAATTCCAAGTCCGTCCAACAGCCTGTGACAGCATCTGTCGGCCCTTTTGCCAAAGCTCCTCCATCTTCTCAGCCACCTCCGATGTGCACACTTCTGTTGGACGAGGCAAGGGACGTATTTGTCGAGGAGATAACATCTTATTGGACGGAGTCTGGTCCATCTGTCAGCGTCCTCGCTCTATGTTCAACCTCCAACACGTGCGCCCGGCCCTCGCCATTCATTTCTCAGTCCCTACTGTCCGTACTTACTGTCTCCCATGGTGGTTCCAAGGAATCCGCTTCGGTCTCTCACGTTTGTCCCAGCTTCACTCATTTCGGCTTCAATGGAATTGTCCACTACAAGAACCCCGATGTTGCAAGAAAAAACACCTAATAGCGATGGCCTCCAACCTAATAGTAATGGCCTCCAATCTAACAGTAATGGCCTCCAATCTAATTGCGATGGCCTCACTTGGGCTTCAATTCATCTCTCCCCTGCCTTGGCTTCAATATCTCTCAGCACGGCATCTCGGACCACCTGCCCACGTGAGGCCAGTGTGCTTCTGGTGTGCTGAATCGAACATACTGAAAAAGACTGAAGGATTCGGTCTGAGCTTCCGTAGCATGCTGTACCTTTCTCTCGAACTTCGATCTTGCTCCCTAAGAGTCAGCCATGTTCTGGGCTGCACCAAATCAGTGCTATTCGCTGAGAAGAACATAGGACCCTTGCACATCGGCCAAGGAACTCTCGCCACGGGGCCTGGCCTCATGGGTTGGCACCTACGAACGGGAAGGAGTGCCGAGCTCCAAGGAGAACTGCCAATGCTGAAGGAACAACGAACCTTTTCTAGACTAGGCAGTGCTCCAAATGTGCAACCGGTAGCCTTTCCCCACACCTGCAGGTACAGCACCCATTTTGTTGGACAAATTCGAGACATTGTCTAAACGCATGGTCCTCCACACCCTCAGGTAGGGTTCAATAGATTTGCTATGACATGCTTTCTATTATCGGATGCAATAGGAGAGAAAGGAGCTGCACATATGAAGACGAGCAACATTCTTACACTGTAATTGTCAAATTACTTTGCTTCAGAATGGCAAGCCATCTGTGCAGGCTATGTCATACCTTGAGGCTTTGGGCTAGGTTGAATTATTTAAGAACAAATAGTGCTCATAATAAACTTCCGCCAGCTCACTTTGGGAGAGCCCGAAGATGGAACTAGACCTGAAATAACCTGCAGACATATCCAAGTCGATCCATAAATGAGTTGTAGCTAGCAGCTACTAGGGTGGAGGCCATCGCCATGAGCAAGAAGCTCCTATAGTAACGGTATCTCCTAGCCACCCGTTTTTGAGACCTCAATATGAAGAGAAACCAGTTTTAAGGCCAGTTGTATGAACACCTCACTCGTATGAAGAGCTTCGCCCACCCGACCGAAAAGGCCTCACTCAGTCCGGGAGGCGCCCTGGGCCTCGGAATCGCGGTCTTCCACAAGAAGTTTGGCTTGAAAAAGGGGGGGTGTAGGCCGTGAGTAGAGGTAGGAAGTAGGTAGCTGGTAGCTAGGGAGGTAGCTGGTAAGTAAGCTAGGTAGCTACTTCCGACAGGACGCAGGATAGCGTGAGCTATCCTGATTTTTAGGAAAACTTCACTAATAGCGATGGCCTCCAACCTAATAGCGATGCCCTTGTTCCTAGTAGCGCCCTTGCTCCTAGTAGCGATGCCAGGAGCCCCTAGTAGCTTCTTGCTCCTAGTAGTAAGGCCAGGAGCCCCTAGTAGCGTTCTTTTCCACCCCAAAAAATGACAGAGAGGACATTGGGTGAGGTTCAAGAACTGAGACCCGGTACGGCCCGGTAACCAAAACATTGACATTGACCTCCTCTCCTTCATGCCACATGTTCACGAGACTCTATGGAATTCAACCAATCGCTTTCTTTATTGTCATGTCAACCTCGAGAGCCTTTCTGTATGATCAGCCTTATGAGGAACGTAGGCAACACCCCCGAAATGATTGGTGGACCATGACAGAAAGATTGGTGGAACGCAGGATGGCCACCACACACATGATAACCTGAACGGCTCTTTGATCCAAACCCTTGGGTTGGAGGCCATCGCTACTAGATTGGAGGCCATTACTATACTAACATGAAGCTACCAGTCACAACCCACTCCCAAGCAGAGTCACTAGGGTTTCTTTTCTCTCAGCCGACTTCTTCGATCCTTTGGGGATCTTCCGACCCCGACGGCAGCCTAGGCTTCCGACAGCGCAGCATTCGCCGCCTGGGCCCGGTGAGCTCGCGAAATGGGTCAGAACTGGGTCGTCAAGGATTGAACGCATGGGTTGGATGTGTTCGTCACTAGTCACTGGATGACACACTAGTCACTAGTCACTAGCTGTCATCACACTTTTCCTTTTTTTTTCGATGACAATGATAAAAGCCATCTGCTGAGTGATATCAGGCTTGGAAAAGGAACTTTGGAAGAGAAGCTCCAAACACATCAACAACTCCTGGAAAATGGTCGAGCCACAGTTTTCTTGGGAAGTTTTCTGTGGGATGAAGCAAGACAACTGCATTCACGGGAGGTCGATTTTAGGACATTCTAGGATTTGGGGACTAAACCATCTGGGCCCTAGAAAGAAGCCCTCAGGTCTTCACATAATCCGGTCCAAACACCCGTCACCGGACAAGCCCTGTTCGCTGAGGAAAAGCCCTGTCCGGGGCCCCAAGCCATCACAACCTGAGAGTTCCGGGACGATCGGTTCTGGCCCAAAGGCCCTTTCACTCACTCGCTCGATCTTTTTTGTGGAGGATCTCCATCGATCGATAGCCCTGACAAGCTTTCAGTAAAGATAGGCCCAAGGTTCAGCTGATTTGGCATAGGTTCAGCTGTTAGGTGAGCTGTTGCAACATGGTATACGAGCATAAACCCTGAACCAAGCATACTATTTCCAATGGACTCCAGGCGAAGAAAACGTCTTCGGGGTCCATGATGGCTGTTCCAACGCACTGAACTAGGCAGCTGAGCTGGCCCGCATGGGTTTGCTGCAAATGATTCTAGTGAGAGGTGATGGTACTCCCACAAGAGAAAAAAGAACACGTCTTGAATCATTGAACCCATCTGAGAAAAGGAACACAGTTTTTTGAACCAAGGACTTATGGACGCAGCAAAATCAATTCGAATGAAACGGGATCGTCCAACTTAATGGTCCAAGTCTGCTTTTCCTTTGCAACACATGTTCCTTGTCGACTTTCATCTTGACTCTCGGAAGTGAATTGGTCATCTCCATGAAGTCAAGCTCCAAGGGCTCCAAGGGCCAGGCACGAGGCGGAGGCCGGCAAACTTCTATTTGGGTTTACTGTGAAGCTCAATGGCCACGGAGAGAAGATGCCATCGAGCACGCAACGACTACAACGACTACAACGACACGCGTCTATGTCCGGAGGTCGAGAGTTGGACCACTGGAATCTATGCGGTGGATGATATCCAAAGGAATCTCTTTGCAAACGTCTGATAACAAGTTGTATGTGAAATGCCAACCATCCTGGTAGATCCTGAATACTGCAATTCACTCTGAGCTACTAATTAGACCAATTAAGGCCTTGCTCAGAAAATATACCTCTTACAGTAGTGAACATGACTTCACCTGCAAGAAAGCTTGACTTCTCCGCCTAGCAACAAGTGCATCGCTACTAGTAACAAGTGCACTACTACTAGTAGCAAATAGCTACTAGTAGCTTCTTGTTACTAGTAGTAATGCAATTGTTACTAGTAGCGATGCACTTGTTACTAGTAGCAAAAACACTACTATTAGTGGGGCACTGTTCGCGCTTCTTTTCCCACGCTCATCGCATCTCCTTCTCAGGCCTCCACAGCCCGGGCAACAGGCGTCGCAGGCGGAGCGCCCGCATTGGACGCCGGTGCACCGGGCGCGAGCATCGGTGGCGGTGGCATCCCGGGCAAAGGGATCAAGGGCGGTGGAGGCCAAGGTGGACGCTCCATCATCATCATCCACCTGATTTGGTCCATGAATCTGGTGATCTTCGAGCTAAAATGAACTGAGCTAGTTGAGTGAATTGGGGAATTCATGAAACCTTCTCCCCTTCAACAGTACAGCCGCTAGTAGGTTGGAGGCCCAGCGGGACAAAGTACAGCAAACCCTTCAAAAGGACGATGATTCCCAGTCCGGCCACCAGAAGCTTCCCGTGTTCCTCATGTAGGACACTATGAGGACATGTAGGACCCCTCCGTAAGTATGGGGCTTTCACCCAAAACGCCCCGCCGGTCGCATTCGGTCACTGGGATGCCCTTGGCAGCAATCCTCATGAGGGCTCACATGAACACTATGGTTCGTCGAAAAAAACAAGGGCTCTTGGCCTCTTGGCCACCCTCTTGGCTACCTGTGACGCCACGATGACGTCAGAAATGTACACCCATCCCATTCCATAAAAAATACGGTCAAGCCACTCTCGCTGATATGCTTCCACCATCATCCTCACTGGTGGCTTGTTCAGCTTGGACCGACTTTTCTGTCACAGCAGCTTTTCGGTCAGAGCTCTCTATTATACTCAAGGCACGACTCCTCCCGGACGGCGACTTTTCTTTCATTTCTTTAATGTTTAGACCCTTATTCTTCTTCGTATTTAATTTTTTACTTTGCCTTGTAAAGGAGCTCTCTAAACACTATTCAGCCGGACTTGAGTGTCGCCTACACCAAGCAGCTACTGATGCAGTTTTGCGATACAGTTACGACAAGAACATCGACACGCGGCCCTTGATTTCTTGTTGATATAGGTGCTATCCATCACATGCGCGAGATTCAGAAAAATAATAAGTTCAAATCAGCATGCAGCATGGGTTTGTCTACCAACCTTTATTTCCTGTTGCCAGGGACACAGTTCTGCATTTTCAGGGTCCTTTCATTTTGAGACAACATCCACCTCATCACACAGTCAATGACTCAGTCGACTGTCTCACGTGTCGTTTTCGTGCCGAGGTTCTTTCGCTGCGTCTTGATATGTTGCCAGCCGAAGTAGGCCCCGCAGTAAGAGCAGCCGGGGACTAAGAGCTGCACCTGGGTTGGCGATCTTGACAATATTATCATTCTCATTGTACTTATCAGTGTGGAACATGTCAAGAACCCATGGGAACATTTTGAGGATACTCTGTGTCGCTGGATGAGTACAACTCATTGTGGTGCAACTGCTTCAGCAAATCACCCACCAACAATCCTGATCTGTCACCTCTCTTTACCCAATCCTTTGAGATTTGACCCAGACATACCTTACCTGGTAGACCTATAGACCACTTTTCACTTTTCACCATCGGTTTTCTTCCTTTCTTTTGTCTTTTCCACCAATCTGTTGGTAGCCTGCATAAACTTGCCAGCGCTATGGAACCCACTCTGCGAACTTTCTGGGATGATGATGCTCATCACATTCATGACAGTTGCATACACAATGTAGCCTGTTTTGCATTTTCACAGACGAAATAACCACTTGACAATGTCTTCATGCAAAACACATGCTCCACTTGGACCAGTGCCGTGCCGACTCATCTGAGAGGCGAAAGGCGTCATGTTTTTGTTTCGCTCATCTCGAGCGAACTATTTGGTGCTTAGCCAGGTGCATTTACGGATCGCCAAAGGCAGCTTATTCGGAGCTCCGCAATGCCAAGCGTTTGGCCATTTCAGTTCGTTCCCAAGCGTCAGTGAAAGGTCCTCCTTAGCGATATCTTGAGCACTAGGCCCCTAGGCAAAGACCTTCATGCCCGAGGCACAGTGTGCATGAGGTTCACCGACAAAGGCAATGAGAGTTGGATTGCCGGGAAGTTGTGCCTAGGACAACAGCATTGATGGGTAGTGCGAGGTACTGTTCACCCGCGGCCCTCAACGTCTAAGAACAAGGGAAGATAATTCACAGAAAAGCTGCAAGTCTGCTTTCAATAGCTCTTGTCTCGAACTCAAGTGCGTGTCTTGTGAGAACCTTTTTTGCTACTGCTACTGACAAGATCGCATTTTGTAAGGTTGCCATCCAAACAAGTCAAAAGTAGGACGTGTAGATATCCGGACATGTCATCATTGAAGGGGCCACAGAGGTAGACCATTTTTCCTGAGGTTCTGAGCTGGGGGGCCTGCCTGTAACACGGACCCTGCTGGCACACAAGACTAAGGGTTGTTGTTAAACAAAAAGGACACACAATACTAAATCCATCTAAATCCTCAAATAAAGACCATAGATCCTGCAATGCAATTCCAGCTTCTCATCGTTTGAGTGGGCCCTGACATAGACCCATCCAGTGACCTGTCCACTTCTTGCGAACTCAGGGGCAGCAAGGTATTCTGCATTAGATCGATGTTTCCCATCGTGCCGTTGATGAATGAGATCAAGACCTCCAGAACTACGCCAGGGAGAATAAGACTTTGAAGGGGAAACATCAACGACAAACTACGGACGGGACATATGTTCAAAATATATCCCAACATTTGTGCAAGTGAGGCCTGTGCACAGATTGGGTGTCAGGATATTGGAGGCTGCCATGAATTTTAGATCTTTCATGGCAATGTTAAACAAAAATTAGTGGATTCCTCTACGATCTGGCCAAGCACTGCTTAGGGTGGTATTCTCTTGAGTGGCAAAGAAAAATAATCAAGAACTTGGCAGCAACAACATATGAATGATGGGTGAGTGTCCTCGTCAGTGTCACAGATCACGTGGAATACGATTTCACCACGAGAATACCAACCCCTTAGAGATCTTCATTCCACCAACACCCCTTCTCGACGAAGTAAAGCGAAGGCACATAGGTTTTTAACCAGGCTGAGGACGGTCCAGGGTGCCGAGAGTTGTAGCCCAAAGTGGCTAATAACCTGAGCGCACTTTGCAGTGTGGAGTGTAGTAACAAGTGCCACGCTACTAGTAACAAGTGCCTTACTAGTAGTAACAAGTGCCTTACTAGTAGTAACAAGAAGCTATTAATTTAAGTGGATCAGGGTGGTGAACCTGTTCAGTTAGGAGAGAGAGGCTGGAGAGGGAGAGGCACGCCAACCTCCAGCACCATCCTCGACCCATCCTTCCTGCATCTGACGAACACTGGGAGTCAAATGGACGGTGAACGCCGCTAGCCAAATTCCCTGGCGTGTGAGGAGCGCTGTCGAAGGCTTGTCCAAGCTAAGAACATTCTCTGGTAGAGCATTGTTGTTGAACAAGCATCGGACACTGGCCATGTGGCACCCTTTCTCGCTTGCTATGAAGCAGGTTTGCTGAGAACACCTGGGGGTGCAACCGATCCTCAAGATTTGCTCGTGCAACACCGCCCCCACGAAACGAGCCCACGAGAATTGACGATCTGCTGCACTTCACGATCTTGGAGTTGATCTTTGGGATAAGTTATGTCTGATGTCAAACCAATCTAACCACTTTTTTTGCCAAGTGACAAGGTGTAGGAACCGCTAAAGAAGTCACCCAAGCAAATGCGCAGGAGACCCAAGGAGCCTGCGAGTGGTGGATCATCAAAACGCTTTAAGCTGAACCACTGCCGGTCGACGACAATGAAAAGTTTACGGTTGACGGTTTGTCAGAAATGACTCGTCACTCATATGTCTTCATGATCTGCAGTTCGGTCACTATTTGATCATCTTGGGCAAAGGCACTGATTTCATCCTCATCAAACTCTGCAATGATTGATCCGGACAATGCTTTGATCTGCAGCATGTCCGGAGGACCAAGAATGAACTTCTTTGCGCCCTTGATCTACTCTTGGGCCAACCCGCCAGATAATTGGACTGGAGGAAACCACACCACCAGAAAACCAGATCTCACACGTGCTGCACGCTGCAAGACGAGCAGTAGCTGCCTCACCCCACCACAGCCAAACATGAGAAAAGCCAACCCCCCCATTCCAAGGCTTTGCTTGTTTTGTTCCATAATGTTCCAATGTTCCATCTATGCCACGAAACCACGAGATACGCAATGACCAACATCGAGCCTTGTAGGAAGGTCGCCACCAAGAGGCCGCGTTGCAAGGCTTGCCTCGCGCGCATCCGTGGCTCGCTGCGTGCGAAATGGCACTTTTTTCACCGACATCATGTTCGCATGTCGTGGAAAGCTGGTGAACTTCGGTGTGGGTCCAAAGGACAATATTAAGAACAAGAAGCTACTAGGGGCTCCTGGCCTTACTAGGAGCAAGGACGGTAATAGGAACTCCTTTCATCGCTACTAAGAGCATTCTTACTACAATACTGGTGAACACATCAAGTTGGGATGCAACTCGTGGTCAAACACTGGGTGATCCTCCAAGAGGTCTCAGCCAATGAGAATAGGTCATGGGAGAACGACAATCGAACGAGCTCCGGTCGCATGTTGCAATCCATTTCAG